GGTTTTAGGGGGGTACCCTTCCCTTTGAACCCTTTTGGGAAAAGTTTTCCCCTTAGCCCCCTCACCCCATTCGGGGGGGCCCCCCCCCCTTCCCCATTTTGGGTTTCATTGGTTTTGATTCCCATTTAGTAAAGTTTTTTTCCCCCAACCGGGCCCCCCAGCCCAAAAGTAGTAAAAACCCCCCCCCCCCCCCCCTCCTGCCCCACGGTGCCCCGGGCTTCGGCGACGGCGCGAACATCCCCCCCCTGGACCCCAAAACCTCGTTTGTGGTTCGTTTAGGACATCCTCGCCAACCTTTTCAAGCTGCAGATCGGCGCCGAGAAGCACTGGAACGTGTACACGCACTCCTTCCTCCAGTTCGGCCTCAACTCCGCACGGGCCCGCATGCACACGAAGGTCGTCCACGCGGTGGCGGCGGCTGCGGCTCCGGCGGCTGCGGCGGCGGCTGCGGGTGCAGATGCAGATGAAGGGTGCGTTTTGTGAGAGCATCATGTGTGCTTGAGTTTTGTTATCCTGCAACACGTGGTATACATGCTCCAATGGTGTATATATCTACGCGGCCTGGTGTGTGTGATCCTTTACACTCTTTCTCGGTACCTCAGTGAGTCCGTAGATAAAACACGTTCGCGATGAAGCTTGCAATAGCATCCGTACTATTTATTCTGTATCAAGGTCAGTTTTTTTCGACTTTGCGGGTTCCTCATGTATGTGTTTCGGTGCTTCGAGAGTGGTGGGTGGTTGTTGAACCTTGGCATGTACGCTGGTCCAACGACCGTTTTCGGATGGCTTGAAACAAATAAATGCTTGGAAGCACCGTATGCGTAGTAAAGGTATCAAGCATTGGCCAGGACCGGGTACGGCACTCACACCTAACCTCTACCCCACTCTGTCCATGGTTGGTGAATTCCTATGCACACATGGGATCCTCAGCGGCAATAACCCCGATGCGCCAGCCACACTACGCACCAGAACCCCCCCCCCCGCTCGGCCGGCACCGATATCCCCCAACGCGCGACCCTTTCTACACACTTCTTGGCCTGTGAACGGCAGCGTCAACGCGCCGCCGGTGGAGGTGGTTGACGCATGCCTCCCGAAGGGCTTCAACGAGAGCTTCGTCTCCCCGGAGGACGGGAAGGAGTACCTCATCGTACCCGCGGACGGGGGCGCCGACTTCGACGCGTGCGACCGGCAGGTACTGTATAGCACGTATTTGGGCGGCAACGACTCTGACAAACTAAAAGAATGCCTGTGTGCGTGTGTGTGTGTGTGTGTGTGTGTGTGTGTGTGTGTGTGTGTGCTGTGTGTGTGCTGTGTGTTTGTGTGTTTGAGTGTTTGTGGACAAGCTTGTTTGCGCCGACGACGGACAGATGCATGGTATGATAGACTACATTGCTGCTGCTGCTGCTGCTGCTGCTGCTGTTGCTGTTGTTGTTGTTGTTGGCCAGCTACTTACTTTTCGTGTAAAGGAGGCTCGTCCATATTTTGCTCGGCCCGACTTTTGTCGGTCTGACGTGCGCGACATCCCCGATCCCAAAAACGTGCTGAACGAACGAATGTGCGCTTTTATTGCGGCCTTTTTGCGCGAGCGCTCTTGCAGCTTGGTTCTCCTCTTCTCATTGTTTCGTACCAGCCGAAGAATGGCCGAAAACGTCAAGAAGCCGCATTTCCTTTCGGTCCTACTTATTTTTCCTACGGGGTCCCAAGTAGGACGCGCTTGTCTGCCGAAGACACAAGATGATTGATTTCCGCTCGCCGGGGCAAGAGCTACCACAACTCTGCAAGATACTGCGCCGATTCTTTCCTAGGACGACTCGCGTACGGTCTGTCCGGTACAGATGAGAAGAATCTCTTCGATTCGCTGGCACTGAATGAAGCCTATAGCCCTTTGGCTCCAACATAGTGTACGCCGTACGTGACGTGTGTCTACAAGCTGCCCAAGTCACTTGTTGTGTGCTTGTGCTGATGCTTGTCCTTCAACGAGTTGTGTACCATCGGCACCCCCGGAAGGGCTCAATAAGGTAAGGGAAATCCTTCTTCTCGGGCAGCAACGAAACGTTGAAAACGATAGCCCGAAAACTGCATTTCCTCGCTCCGGATACTTCGGGGTATCGATCGCTTCGGCATGACCTTGTGTTATGTCCGCGCGTGCGTACACAATGGGCACGATATTTTTCTAGCAAAGCTTCCAACCGGTTTCTGGGCCCCCCCGTGTCCCGAGAAGGGGGTGTACTCATAGTCGTGCATGCCGTAGTCGTTTGACCATTGACCTCGCATCCCTACAAAGCCGGGACGGAGCACGCCGGGTTCTCACCGGACCAGGCTCTCACATCACCAAGCGCGAAGCGCCGTGAGGTATTTGGCGAGTCGCATGAAGGGTGAGCTGCCATCCTGCTAAGGGTGTTCGGCATCTTGTGCTTACTTCCTTGCGTACGGATGACAGCTACGTATGACTTAATTTATTTTCTGGTGTTTTCACTTCCAGAGACAGTTGTAAGCACTGTGTAACTGCCTCGAGGAAGCTTGACCATTTTAACACAACGTGGTGCGATCATCCCCCGTCGCGCGGAGTGAGGTTTCTCGACCCCGCACAACATGATCTACTCGACCACCATTATGGTTACCGCCAAAAACAAAAAACCGAGGTAAAAAAAAAAAAACGGTAACCTGGTTGCCGAGTTCACGAAGTGAATTGGCTTGTTTTACAACGTCGTTGCCAAGCGACGAAAACCCAATCCCGATGGCAAACACCGAGTGGGGGGCTTGTTTTACAACGTCGTTGCCAAGCGACGAAAACCCAAACCCCGATGGCAAACACCGGGGGGGGGGGGCGGCTTGTTTTACAACGTCGTTGCCAAGCGACGAAAACCCAACCCCGATGGCAAACACCGGGGGGGAACCGTCCCGAGAAGGGACAACTTAAAATGTACCCACCGATATCAGCACGCACCCAACTTGATGATGTACGCACAGAATCACGCGGTCACGTTCGACTGTATTTTAGAGTACACATATTCGCTCCCCATGCCTTTCCCATCATCAGAGAAGAGATGCGCTGGCCCTTGCTTACGGAGACAACATGCTGTCGTCGTCACCCCCCCCCCCGGGCTCGTTCCGTCCCCGCTGTAGACTGCGGAGCTCCTCGAGGCTTCCTCTTCATCGGGCAGCTTCTGCCAGTTCGCCTTCCCCGGGCAGTGCTCTGTCCTGGGCGTTTACCAGCCGGAGCTCCCTCAGGGTGGCGAGCACGGACGGTTCTACGGGTTCTCGGGGTGAGTGGGTGGGCCTGTGAGTCAGTGAGTGAGGGAATGAAGTGAGTGACGAAATGGAAGATGTTGTCTGAGTGAGTGCGTGCGTGAGTGAGGAAATGAACGGTGTTGTGTGAATGAGTGAGTGAGCGAGGAAATGAAGGAGAGTGTCTGAGTGTCCGAGCGTCTGAGTGAGTGAGTGATTGAGCCTGTGAGTGAGGCAATGGTTGAGTGAATGAGCAAGTGACTGCCTGGGAAAGTAAGTGTGTGGGAGTGTGAGGGAGATGGATTGTAGAGTGTATGGTGGAACGAGTGGGGTGTGCGTGAGTGAGAAAGTGAGTGAGTGAATTAGGCAGTGAAGCGGTGGAGTGAATTGTTGAGTACATTGTTGCCTGAGTCCGAGTGACCGAAATGTGCAAGAGGTTTCGACGAGAAGGTTTGATGCCCTGTGAATTTTGCGGGGGAAATTGATGCTTTGTTTCTACGAAAATTGTGTTTTGGAAGAGCACGTTTTTCTGTGTTTCGTTCTTAAGGGTATGGGTTGATCGCCACTCCGGGCATCATTGTTGCTACCCCCGCTCTATGGACGGTCTCGTCCGGAAGATCACCCTCTTGCCCGACATTTGGCGCTACGGGCCTCGCGCGAGGTTTCGGTGCTACTGGACAGGGGCGAGACCACACGGCAGCCCGGCACTGTCGAACCCATCCATTTATTGCCATCAAAGTGACCTCTTGAGGAAAATTCCACATATTATCCTCAAGCACGTGTGCGCGCACCGCACCCTGTTCGATGCCGAAATCAATGAACATAGTTCACCTTCTCTTACGACCGGGTCATCCGCTTCCCCCGTTTCGTGGAACGCTCCCCGCCCGTGGGCGATTTCGATCCCTCTCCCCCCCCAGGTACTACAAGCTGTGGCAGTTCCTCGACCTCGACGAGTCTACGACGGTTGCAGAGATTGTCGGCGAGGGCAAGCGCGTGTGCGGCATGTCCCGCGAGGAGCTGTCCGCGTACAACTCCCTTCGCAAGGGCCGCGAGCACAACGTCCCGTACCTGGCCAAGTACTGCTTCATGTCGTCCTACGTGACCACGCTGCTGGGCGGCGGCTACGGCTTCCCGGCCGAGGAGCACATTCACTTCGTCGACGAAGTGGGCGGCTACAAGGTGCGCGCGCGTTCGCCCGTTTTTTTTGTGGTGTTTCCGCAGCAGCCCAGTTTTTTTTTTTTTGTGTGTTTGCACCAGCCGCGCTAACCGGCTTGACCAATGAAAAGACATCCGTCTGTTCCAGTGGCGTTGAAAACAGAAAAATTCTCGTGTAAATGTCATGATCCCTGTGCGTGTGCTATGCGAAAACAAACCATTTGATAGTCAGCCGCCGGGCTCACGAGCCCCATGCCAGGACAAAATTTTATTGAAGCCGAAATCAAACCATTGGATGGAGTAGTCAGCGCTGAAAAGTCTAATGGTGTCATTTCGGCTTTTTTTTATTGATAGTGCGTGTGTGCCTTGGTGACGAGAGTGAACTCGCCGCTTCCTGTTGGCCTTGACAGTGCCGTCCGGAAGGCGAAATGAACAAGAAATGCCCACTCACCAGCAGGGACCATACAAAACCGAAACGAACGAGCCTTCGTTCGCGCCCCCCCCCCCCCCCCCGACCTTTAGTAG